TTGCTTATATTCTCACACGTCTAATAAGACCTTCTGCCTTCCCTGCTCCTCCTCGGCCACACAAGCTGCTGCCATCTAGATGAAACACCATCGTGATCCCAACAGATAACGCTTCTTATCTCTCACAAGAGGCTCCAAGGTGAGTGTTTAATGCGGTAGCATACAGTCAGAGGCAAAAAAAAAAAAAAAAAACACAGCGTATTATTTAACAGCATCATGGCACCAAGACCAAAATATAGGTATTTTCCACTTCAGTAGCAAGTCAATAAAGGGGATCTAGATCGTTTTCAGTTCGAGCACTCATACTTGTCCATGGTCAACAGACCGCCAAAATGGGCCCCATTTCTTCCAACTTCATGGGCCTGACATGGTATTTTGCGGCCAGGCCTTTTCCAGGATGTATTTCAAACCTCTCAAGCAGGCATGAGAGCCTTAGTGATCAGCTTGACTCATGGTGACGATTTCAAACACAGGCTCGTACCCAGACGGGAAAAAGTGTGCTTTACCCAGCACTGTACACAGAGCAATAACAGTGCCAGACGGCATAATACCGAACAGAATTAATTTCACACATGATGTTTTCAAGGTGTTAAAATATGTCACAGCTTCTGCTAATAAAACATCTTCCCTCCTCCTTGCAAGAAAACGCCACGCTCCTGCCAGCCTGTATTTTATATTATATGTGTTTTCAATCCTGATAAGGACAGCTGATTGCTTGCAAAACTAATTACAGTCAAATGAAAGTTTTTCAGAACCATCATTAGCAATTAGGACCTGCTGGATTTGCAGTGTATCATTTAGCAAGGTGTAATTCAAGAGCTTATTGAAAAATTGCAGGAGAAAGCGCTGATGATAAGGGTGGTGCCGGCACCACATCAGGGCAGGCAGAGCTGGTCCACGACCCAGCGACGGCTGCAGCCGCGTTTGGGACTGGCCTGGGAGTTTGCCATGGGAAGGAACTGCTTCCGAAATCCCAATGGATCCCACGTACCTCCCGTTCAAGAGCAACGTGTTCTTCAACTTCAGTGATGCCAAACCAGACTCCCAGGCGCGTATAAAACCAGAGCAGGCCCATGGATCCAGGCTTGCAAACCTCTCCACGGACCCCTTAGCCTAGTGACTGAGAGCAAAGCAGCCCCAACTTGCAGCAGCTTTGGAAAAACAGAGCTACATCTTCACCACTCTACGTGCGCGTGTGTGTATGTGTGTGTGTGTGCACGCACTGTGTATACCACATCCACGATGTCCAGCCCCAAACTGCACAACCATACAGAGGTTTGTTCTCTGGGTCGTTGCAGAGCTGTAAATTGGAATCCAAGGACTTGCACAGCTCGAGACGGCTGTCTGCAATCCTCGGAGTCGCTACCCGCCTTGCCAAGCCCACCCACAACTTCATCTTCAATTAACAGCTCCTGGGAAAGCAGCACGGGAAGCAGTTGCTAAAGAGCACTCGGATGTCACCGAGTGCCTGCAAACCCAAACTGTAAATAGCACGTTGCAAATCGCCCGTGGCGGCGGGCGGCTCGCGCAGGAAGCACCACACCAGGGGCAGCCCGCGCCATCTGCTCCGCGCGCCGCCCGGCTCGCGCCCGTCCCCACAGCATCCCCAGCGTGGCCGAGCACCCCCGGGACGCTGCAGGAAGGGGCAGGGGCCAGCACCATTCAACACCCAGCGTGCACCAGAGGGCAAGACCGCCAAGAGCTTTGCAGGGTTATTTCTGGGACAGAAAAAGCTCCGGCATCTCCCTCCTTCGCCTTTAATTGCTTCACCTAATGGGCTAGAGGTTAAAGCTAATACGTAGTTTATCATGCTCGCAGTCCACGGCTGCACGGTTCTTCCTGATATCTCACTGCCATTTACCTCCTAATTCACCCCTGCATCACCAGCCTTTTTTCTTCCCTCTCCTGCCCCTGTCGTTGCTCTGCATCCTTGCTTGCACCAACAACAGGCACCAGAAACGCTGCCAGCGCCTCCGAACCCCTTCCACGTAACCAAACGGGAGCCTTGCGGGGCTGGGTCCCACCGTGTGTGCAAGTGGGCTAATACTGCCCTTGTCTGGCGAGGGGACAACTCAAGCCACCCACTCGGGCAAGAAGAGGTTCAGGAAGCAAAGATGCCTTCCGAACCCTTTCAATGTTTTGTCATCCTTTTTGTTATTTACAAGTGCTCACTTTATGATTTCCACACCATTTTTAAAGAGCAGATGGAAAAACAAGCCATCTACCAATTAACGTAAAGGAAATGGAATTTAAAAGGTTGGAGAAATATTCTGATGAGCCTCATGTTTGCTTAATGCCAACTAAAATTTCCTCAAGGCATTTAATAAGTACATTTATGAAAGCTCACAAAGCAGAGTTCAAAAGTCTTCCTGCTACTAAAATATGAGCCTTAATTAACCTACAGTTTCACATTTTCTGGATTTCAATAAACCTGTAGGCACTTCAGCACGGCAGGATAAATACCTGCTTGAAGACTGCAAGGAGACTCGCTGAAAACTAATTAGCAGCCCTCCCATAGCCGCCCTCAGCTACAGCTGTTGGGTGAGGGGGCTTTACCCCAAGCCCTGGCTGAGAGAGCTGCTTCTGGCAGGTAACGGATTTCACAGGAAAACCTATCAGACAAGGCCAGGAACAGCAGGTAAAGTGACCCCCAGGATGTCCAGGAGGAACATCTTCCCTACCGCGACAGAGGGCAGCCAAGATCTGGTGCCACCACGTCAGTGCAATGACAGCACCAAGGACACATCGTTCCATCCACACGTAATGTTCGTGTGCGACATGTAATTATATAGATTTGACAACAATACTTATATCATAAGCAATTTCCAACCGAAACTCTGGCAGCCAACGGCAGATGGAGGAGGTGGCCCACAAGGGACCTGCGCTGGGGTAGAGACACCCTGAAGGGACTACGGGCCCCCAGGATGCCCATGCTGGCAAAGGGAGAACAAGTCAGAAACTGGGAGGCCCTGGCCCTGCCCCTGCCTCGCTGCACCAAGGCGCAGCAAAACCAAGTCAAGGGGACACCAGCGATGGGGCAGAGGAGAGGCGCTCAACTGAAGTTGAGCCTGGTAAAAGCAGAGCAGATGCATTTTCCCAGCATTTATTTGTTATATTCTCTGTTTCCAACGCCTGAATTGGTAATCAAAAGGTTTTTTCCATCAACAATAAATTAAATCAGGGAAAATGCCCCAATTCAAAGCTGCTTTGCCTGTGACATCATCACATCTCTTTTCTAAGTGACAAAGCTACTTGCAGTAGTCAGCACCTAAACTCTTCAGGAGACTAAAATGTTCTTATCTAAGGAGCTGTACCCCAACCATATGTATTAAATTTATATTGAGATATTTTATTCCCTCTCAGCCTTATCCATCTGGAATTAAGCTCAGATTTATCAGCTAAAAGGAAAACCACTTTCCATGACATTTGACAACTCAATACCTTCCAAACCAGTGTATATTTATTCTTAAAAACACAACCTCACAAATAACCTCCATCAGCAGCTAGGCCAATTCTTCACTGCTTAAGTACCAGGCAGAAAAGTTTCACCTGACAGTAGGGTATGTCATGCGAATCAAA